ACAGTTGGGGAAGAAAAAAACGAGATGTCGTCGGTGGCATGAATCGGCCGATAGATGGTGCGAGTCGCCGAAAAAAAAAAGACCAAATATGGAAGCAAATCAGAAGCAGTAAGCGAAAAGAAAGGCGTCGATTTTTGGTTATCTGCGTAAATTAGTATCGGCGACACCTTTAACGGCGATGTCAAAACCTTTAGCGGCGACTCCAATCAATTGTAGCAACAACTATGGAAGAAATTTATACCACGTCTTTTTTTCTACCTTTAGCGGCGATAAAAATCGTCGGTATTGATGTCGCTACTATTGGGTTTAGGCGAAACTGAGTCCCATCCGTTGGATTAGAATATCAATTAATCGGTTAGGGTTTGCCAGAACGTGTTCACGCGGATTCGGTCCCCAAGGCATTACCGGTGGCAAAAACTTTTAGCAGCGATTTCAGCTTGAGTCACCGCTAAAAGACTATCGCCTGTAAAAATGTCGCTCATAATGACATGATTTCTTGTAGTGAACAAGGTCTATTTTTTTTAGTAGTCTAAAAAGTGTTAGCAATATTATATTTCAATGTATAAATATTAAATTGAAAACATGGAAAGATGTAAATTCTAATAATTAATAAGTACAAATAATAGTTTTATCAACGAAACATCCTAGAAATTAAGAAAATCAGACACAAACTTGTAACCTTTCTATGTACATTAAACGTTTAATGTTAATAATATTCTAAACATGAAATTTTTTGTTAGATAGTTCATATGCAAACTACACTACTTATAAACATAAGGAGGAAAATAGAAGAGGCGAGTCATGTCTTGAAATTGGACAAAACTAAAATAAAAAAATAAATATCATTTCTGGCATACATTAGAGTGAAACTGCTTATTTCTAAGAACGTGCGAGTGTCTTGAAATTGATCAAATTAAAATAAAAAATGTCCATTTGGCATAGATTTACTACGTTTGTTTAATTTTATTACTTCTTATTTTATAAATAGATAACTAAAATTGTAATATAGTGGAAATGAAATACCAAAAGTTTTAATTTAAACTAGAGGGTGGTCCCTCGCTCCGCGAGGGGCGGAAATTGCCGGTTTTGTTTCAAGAGTATTTACTTGAATTGTCAATTTAGAAATCTGAACAATAGATTACATGATCCATAAATAAGATTTCTAGGAATTGTGGTATTATTGTTATCGTCCAAAAAGTTACATTCCCAAATTGTCTCTGTTATTTTTCTATGTTGCCTAAGAAGTTATATGTATTTCAAACTTCATACTTCACATTATTCTTTGCTATGTATTAGTGTAAAAGCAATACAACACTTATATTTATATTTTTTATAAAGATTCCAAATTTAGAAAACTGGTTTGCTTATACCAAAAGATTTGTGTTGAAGCCACTGAGCACAAGGTTACAAATAGAAGCGACTCCAAATCCAGTGACCAATTTCTTTGTGGAATCCCAAATCTCAAGGTTATAGAATTAGCTCTCACTAACTTATCATCTTCTTTATCCTGTATATATGTGTAATCAACATGAATGAATAATCTAGCATGTATACCTTTAAGTTAACTCTCTTTTACCTGGTGTGCGTATTGTATCGTAGACAAGTGTGGAGAATACTCCAGAAAGATATGGAAGCAAAACGACAGCAGGACCTAGAGTCCTAGACTTCCTCTATAATGGCAGACCATCCTAGTAAGGCTCCCTAGTTAAAAGTTAAAGCAAGATACGCTTGAGGCTACAACCAAAATGACAAAATGTGAAAATGATTATTTACCCACCCAAAATGACAAAGGATAAATAAGACTGTGAAACATATATGTTACGTACTTTCTAGATCATGTATCATTCCATCTTTTTTTATTCAATTTTTTTACCACATAAGTAATTATGTTATGATTTAAAAGTCATAAAACATTCACCTAACAGGGAAATCTAGAAAGAATATATAAATAAAATAACCCAAGCATCAAAATGAAACATTTGCAGTTGAATTTCATTAGTATTCAAATAAAATACCAAATATTAATGGAAAGAAATGAATATAACATTTACAAGTATGATAAAAGGAGTGGCCTGGAGATATTTAAACTATTTAGAAGACGACACAAACCGTTGAAACATGAAAAACAAATCAATACAACAACAAAACCATAAGAAAGAAATAGAGCAGGGTGAAATTAAAATCAAATTATTACAGGTTAGTTTCCAGTTGTTGTTTTATTATATTATGGAGTGAAATTGCTAAGAAATGTGTACCCCGGTTGTCCCTGAAATTGATAAGAAATGTGTTTTCTTTCTCTTAGACATTTTATCGAACACCTTGAAGGCATTTAGAAAGAAAGAGAATATTCATTGTTAATGAGTGATTGAGTAGGATTGGAATCTGAATCAGTTGTAGGAATCTGGTGAAACGAAACTAATTACTAACCTGATGACCAATGTTTTGAATGACAAGAACGGATCTTGAGTATTGCATTAATCCATGTGCATGATAATATGCTTTGAGGTAAACTGGTAACAATGTAGTATGCTAATTGTTAGCAGAAACATGAAATCTGTAAAATGATCTTTTAAAAAACTTGCAAGTTCAAAAGTAATGCACCTCCATATCCTGAAAAATATACATATTATCATTACAAATTTGCAGCAAACGTATGGAGTGAAATAATGGACTCTCGGTTCACTAACATGTATAACATGCAGCATATAGATAGTACATCCCCAATTCCCAAAGGCAAATCCCTTTTAGGGTTCTTCACCTGTACAATTCCTTCATAAGGTTAGTTTAGAGATTTGATAGATAGTCATACATATAACAATGTTCAGCAAGGGTAAACACGACTGAGATTGCAATCAAGACAATCAGAACAACAACAAAGGAGCAAGGGTATATTTGTCCAAAATATCCACCGATGAACTAACACAATAACATATAAACCATAATCAAGACGATCCAGAAAGCTGCACGCCTTTGATATGGTCTAAGTTCAGGGAGCAAGTTAGGCATGTCATCCATTAGCATCGGGTTATCAATGCAATTTTTTTTACTAAAATTAATAAACATATAAACCAGAATCATCTAGCATCAACACTATGCGCACCCACATTGAGGTTTTTATTGCTTCAGAAAAACCAGATACATCGAACCTGGATGCTTACCTATTTTCATTTAGTTCTAGCCCAATCTCCATGTCTTGAGGTACCTTATACCATATCTAGCCTCTGAGGTAGTTACTTCTGGGCCTAGCCAAGCCATGACATTCATCATACTCTTCTTCCATCTGCTACAAACTGATACACAAAAACAAAGTACACTAAGATGTATGACAAATAGACATCACACCAACTTCTAAAGGTGATTGGTGAGACAAACCTTTCGGTTTTTGCTCAATTAAGTCGCCATATTTGCAGGTAGATATCTCAAAACAAAATCCCATAGAGAATGCAAAATATAGGGATGAAATGATAAAAGAGTCAGGATTTCTAATAACATTGGACGCGACAGGTTTGAAATCGAAGTGAAGTAGACTTACTAAGCTCGGTTTCTTTTGAGCCCACACTCGTTGGATACGTTGGTTGCAGAGACCAACCTTCAAACCATCTATTCAGCAGTTGGACTTCACCAGCGAATGTAAATGGCGATGCTAAATCGGTTCCATCAGAGAAATCGCAAAATAAAGGACCGATTAGCAGTAGGAATTGAGAGCATACGAAAAAGACGACGAAAAGGAGGAGACGGAAAATCGAAGAGTCAATTATCGGTAGTAACAATAGCGAGAGACCTGGGAAGATGTGAACAATCATTGTTACAAAAAAACGCCACGATTAGGCAACAAATTAGGAGAAGAAAGAAGCAAGTAGAACGATATCTGAGGTTCCTCTGCTACAGCGCTACCGTTGCAATCGTCGGAAACTCCTTATACACTTTTGTTGGTTAGTGTGGATGAATGGGGATGGCCGGTGGCGGTACCAGAGAACAATAGAGGTGGTGGAGTCGGTGGGTGGATTAACCCCGGGGAAATCCAGAAGGTGAGCGAAAGGTTAACTGATTCATAGAATTAGCAAGAGTAAGGCGGTGAGAAGTAGAGCAGATGCTATCGGAGAAGATGGTGGTGACTTGAAAGGGTTACGGCAGAATCCGACAGAGCAGGTTGTTTCTAGGGCAGCGGTGTAGGGAGCAGAGGGTAGAAGAAGGTCGGAGGAAACTTGTATGTATGCATAGGGTAGAAGGTTGGCGGTGGAGGGAGTAGAGGGTAGAGTAAGCATCAAGGAGTGCTCTATATTTGAGTAGGTGACACCAATCACATTGCTATTGCGGTACAGTAACGGTGGAATACATAGATCGTTGTAATTGTAGATGCGAATCACAACCGGTCAAAAGGTTATTCTAAAAAAGAAAAAGAAAAAAAAAATCGCCCAATCAGTCATTGACAAAAAAATAACCCAAAAGACCAAACATATAGTAAAAAATAACCCAAAAGAGAAATACGGAAAGAAGGAGGAAAATAAACAAAATAATAGGAACTTTACATTTGTTAAGTTTGGACATTTTTAATATATATATATATATATATATATATATATATATATATATATATATATTAATAATTAACGAATAAAATTATCCTTTCTACTTTTGAGACGAAAATAGTACCGATGATACTAATAACATTCTTAGTTCTATTTTAGTATGTATAACTTTCATCTTCTGTTTAATATATGTATTTATTTTATGATCCGTGTTTGAAGGGGTTAATACCAAAACAGTCAAAATATTCGAACCCTTTTATTCTATAACTATAGTATTTTCCACTTTCCAGGTCTAAGTACACATCTAGGATACGGTTCTCGTCTTCGAAAATTCAATATTCAAAATCTATTTTCTTTCTATAAATGCCCATTTCCGCATATCAAATGCTAATAGTCTTGAACATATACACAGAATATTAAACTCCCCAAAGAACAAAGAATAAACTCTGAATCTCAGTTTTAATTTTCTCCATGCAACGTTCAATTTCCTCAACCAAGAATGTCTACAGTAATCTCCTTCACTACCAGAAACCACAAACTGCCGCCATGATCACACGACAGCAGCCACCTTGCGATGTTTTCATTAACCATCGTGGAATTGACACAAAGAAGAACGTCGCCGGACTTTTGTATAATCATCTCATGAGGTTAAGATTAAGGCCTTTCTTGGACAGCAAGAATATGAAACCAGGCGATAAATTGTTCAATAAAATTGACACTGCAATCAGAGGATGTAAAGTTGGGGTTGCGCTTTTCTCTCCCCAGTATTGTCAATCCTATTTTTGCTTGCATGAACTGGCTCGTATTATGGAGGCAAAGAAGAAGGTTATACCTGTTTTTTGTGATGTTAAACCATCGGAGCTTATGATTAAGGACAACTGGAGGTGCCCAAAACACGAGCTAGATAGGTTTCAGTCGGCTCTTGAAGAGGCTAAGTACACCGTGGGCTTAACTTTCGATTCATCAGACGGGTAATAAACACTCATATCAGTTTTACTGTTTTATTTTATAACAAGTGACAAAATTTAAACAAGAAAATACAAATACCTTTTTTCATTTCGATTTCATTCAATTCAGAAACTAGGTTTTTCGAGCTTTATGCATGAAAATAATTACATAGAATATAGTCCTTAAAGTGCATTAAGACTTCTATAGTACAAGTCACAATCATGGGAACATTGGATATGCTAAGTAGCTTTTGCATGCTATAGACATTGATGCATATCGCATGAAATGATGAAATATAGAAATGATACATTCCTCAAAATGAATCCGGGTTTGTACATTACAGGTCACATGCAATGCACCAACATTTTGGGAGCTTCAGATCTTTAAAAATAATACAGTAGAAACGCATAAAAATAGTTAATTCTTAAGATGCAACTACACTTGTACATTACAAATCATGTATGTATCACAAGGGCAATTGAGGATGGGTATTCCCAACATTCTACGCATACGTTTCATTAATATTAACCTACTGCTACATTATAAAAAAGTATTAATTAAAAAAATATGTATATACGATTACATGCATATAAATTAAGATGCAACATAGTAAGTATCTTATGATATGCAAGCGTTTTGGAACTAACTACGTTGGTGTTAAATGTATGCAGGGACTGGCCGGGATTTTTAACGACAGCGACCGAAGCGATTCTTGAGAACTTGATAGAGGTGGAAGAGGAAGAGCAACAAAAATGAACTGGAGAAATTAAATGATAATGCAAATACTGAAAAATTCAATTAACCAAGCATAAAGTGTACAATTTAATTTAATTTAACTTAACTTTCATATAACATAAAAAAATCTAATTAATCAATTCATTTAATTAATTTATTTATTCTTTTTGTATATTTACATAAAAATACAACTGTAATGTTAAAAATCCAAAATCTTGTAATAATTTTTTTCATGGCCTCTTCTTTGATTCGAAATTGTGATTGTTCAATAAGAGTGCAAAAGTGCACTTGTCGCTTTCATGTAAATCTTCGATAATCAAAGATATATTGGAAGTGTTAAATTATTAGTTGAATTCGTTTCTCTTAATTCTAAATTTCTTAATTCTTTGTTTTATCTATGGTTATAAACATGGTTCTAAAAAACGCGTCATGACGTGCCATGGCGCGAGTTGTGGGGTAGCCGTTACGAAAACGTCGAAGGCGTGTTTGTTAAGCGTGACGTCCAAATAACATGTCAAGGCGCGTCTTATCGCGATATGGCGCGAGTTTTTTTCAAGGCCCGGGTTTTTTTTGTCTTTTTTTTTTTGATTTATTTTATCGAGCCTAAAATAATTGAGTTTTTGTTAACTTTTTATATTAAATACTAATATAACACTTCTAAAAACTTGATATAATTGATAAAAATCAATAATTATATGATTTATCTCTTTTAATATATATAAAATAATCACGCCTTGAAAAACGCGATGGCGCCAATGCTTGTCATGACTTAACTTTTACCTTGCCGCCAAGTCACGTCTCACGTTATTTAGAACATTGGTTATAAATAACGTAAGACGTGACTTGACGACATAGTCAAGCCTCAAGCCTTGCGAGCCATGTCGAACAAAATTTTAATATATTTTATAATTTTATATATATGTCTATATATATTTACTATCATCCAGTTATATAAAGAAGCCATATATTAACAAAAACATAATGTTTTCACATATGAATACATTTAATCTAAGATATAGTCACCGATTTACAATCATACTAAAAGTTTATAAAAATGTTATCTTTCAAAAAGTCAGTGAACATTACAAAAGCATGTTAAATCCTTAGATCAAATCTAAAGAGAAAAAAATCCCTTTTGTGGCGACGGAGGTTCACCCTCGATGACTCTGGGTACTCGCAAAGCATGTCAGAACCTCGGATCCATAAGAGGCAAAATAATAAAATTAAAAAAAAAACATATTACACAAAAAAACACTTCTTTTCCCGCCTTACCACGTTATTTGGGTGACAAGCCTTACAATGCCGCCTAGGTCCTTTTCGGGAACCGACTTGGCGCCGTCATGGCGCTTTATTTAGAACCCTGGTGCTTTCCCACGAGGAAGAATTTGTGTGAAGCCATTTAGATAGATTATTGACAAACACGGTCACAAATTGTGTGGTGACTATTTCTTTTAGTGTCAGACGCTTACATATTAGCCATGGAAGTATTGGATACTAATCCAATACACACAACAAGAAATATAAACAATAACGACATACTTATAGTGACAACAAAGACAATAACAATGACACTTTTCTGGTAGGGGTGGCAAATCGTGTCATCGTTTCGTATTTTTAGCTAACACGACACGACACGAATTAATTTTACCCAACCTGAACAAGACACGACACGATGTCGTATTAGTTTTCATTAACATGAATACGAAAAAATAAAAAACACGAAAAACACGACAACACAACAACACGGCAAATGTTAACAAAAAAACCATTTCCATAATAATGTCATCGATAAGTTCTTGCAAAAACTAAGGTTAAACACAAAAATCACGAACTTAATGACAAAAAACAACATAAAATCACATCAAATAATGCTAAATATCTTCAGACTTGTGACTCCATCACTTCATGTGCATCATTTCCCTTGCTATCCAATTCCATAATATCTAAGATCTTGTAAACACAACTCTTCATCACCTATAAACAATAATAAACATATTATAAAAGTTAAATCACTTTATACAAATGTTTCAACAAAAATAACAAACTACCTGAAATCCCAAACAACCAATCTTTTGAACAAATTATAACTTTAACATTTTTATGTGCCAACGAACTTCGAAATTGATCAAGAACACGACCACTGTAACATCCATAAAAATCCAAGCCAATTTAAAACTTTTTAAAACACTTAAAACCATTCAGATATTACAATTTGTTTTCAAAATAGTTAAACATCAGAGTTCCCAGAAATCCAAATCATAAAATGTGAGGAAGTGTACGGTCACGCCTTCGCCTTCCCGCGGTCATCCGTTGTACCTGAAACAATAATCGATAAATGTAAGATCGAAGGCTTAGTGAGTTACCCCCAATATACCCATACACACAACAATACACATATAATAACAAACAGCATACTATGGGTCCAATCAACCATCGGGTTGGAATACCCCAGGCCCTCAACCATCGGGTTGGAATGCCCACATACTACGAGTCCAATCATCCATCGGGATGGAATACTCTCGGCCCACAACCATCGGGTTGGAATGCCCACATACTACGAGTCCAATCATCCATCGGGATGGAATACTCTCGGTCCACAACCATCGGGTTGGAATGCCCACATACTACGAGTCCAATCATCCATCGGGATGGAATACTCTCGGCCCACAACCATCGGGTTGGAATGCCCACATACTACGAGTCCAATCATCCATCGGGATGGAATACTCTTGGCCCACAACCATCGGGTTGGAATGCCCACAACCAATCAAACATGTGCACATATAACAGATAATCATATAACGGTCTATAAAGACAACATACTAGGGTCCATTCATACTCGGGATGGAATACCCTCAACTACCATAACAAGCATGTGCACACATAACAGGTAATCACCCAACCGTATACAGACAGTTCGACCAACTACAGGTCTCCAAGCATAACCACATCCTATCTACCAGGATACCGATCTAACAGATCATACTAGCATATAACCATCCTATCTACCAGGATACCGAGCTAACATATCACAACAATAACAATTCCAAATAACAATTCAAAGGGTCGGCCTTGGTGCCTTAGACCCTTAAGTATAGTGAGGATAACTCACCTTGCAATGTCGAACGTAGTGATAAAATCCAACTCCCGAATCACTGTCACGAACTCGACCACCTATAACCTCCATAGTACCAAGTCCATCAGAATCCCAAATTACCAAAATACCCTTAAAAGTCCAACTGGTCAACCCTTGGTCGAAGTCAAAGTCAACGGTCAAGGTCAACAGTCCATGTTGACCTAACTCGTCGAGTGCAATATACTGACTCTTCGAGTTCCTCCAGAACTCACAGAGTCATAAAACCCTAGTCTACTCGCCGAGTTTCTAGGCAACCCGTCGAGTTCAAGCGTGTCTAAAAGTCGGGGAAACCCCCTTTGACTCATCGAGTCGTCTCTCAGACTCGCCGAGTCCATGCAGAAACTATTCTCTGGCAATCTTCATCCGACTCGTCGAGTCGACCATGCAAATCGTCGAGTATCATTCAGTCCATCACTCATTCAGACGACTTTAAGCTGCTCCAAAGCTCTAAACAGTAGATCTATGCTCCTAGGTTGCTGCTATCACGTAAAGTTGCTAACTTTACGTGCATGCAAGGTTCTATGAAGTTAAAACACTCATAAATAGCATTAGGAGAAGGTTTTGGATATAAAGGAGGGCTAGGGCTTCATAAAGCTTGAGCCTTTATGTCCATAAGGCCTTGGGAAGTCAAGATCTGAAACTATGCCCTTGTGACAAGCTCAAACCCGGATGTGACCCCTTCTTGCCCTAGAAATGACCATTTCTTTTACCAAAAAGGGAGTTCTAAGCAATGAAATGTAAAGGTGGTAGCTTTATACCTCAATCTTGCTGTCACAACACTGGGAAGGCTAGATCTACAAGCTCTTCCTTGTTCCAAGCTCTTAACTCCTCAAGAAATGCTCCAATACACTCTCTTTTGGTCTCACACACTCAAGAGTAGAGGCTAGCTAGCTATTAGGGTTTCTCTGGACGTGAAGGTGACAAAGGAGGCTGAGGAGGAAAGTTAAGGACCTTTAAATAGGGTGCAAACCCTAAAAATTAGGGTTTTCACTTTCCAGCACCTACTCGTCGAGTCGGGTCCTCCAACTCGTCGAGTATGGTCTAAAAACCACGCGGATGATTTGGTCTCTACTCAACGAGTTGGCCTATCAACTCGTCGAGTCGCCTTTAAAACTTGACTCTTGAAGCTTTAAACTGATATCGGGAAAATCGGGATGTTACAACCACCATTACTAAAAGCTGACTCGGATGCTACAGTGGAGACATGGATGCTTAAAATATCCCGAGCCATGGAAGCGAGTTCCGGATAACGATATTGATGAGCTTTACAAAAAGAAAGAACATTTATATCTTCTGTAATATCACTTCTTGGCTCATCTAGGTACATCTTCGGTTGTGATTTTTTTAGACAAAGCGAACTCCTTAGTTTTATAAACTGTCAACTCCTATAAAATAGAAAATTAGTTAGTGCAAGTAAAAAATCTTAAGCATTAAAGTAATAAAAAATAATTAAGTACTAAAACAGCTTCTGCTTACCTGTAGCATTTCTCTTGCGCTTTTGCTAAGAATTGTGTCATTCTTTTTGTTGACACTCTTACATGAATAGTTTGTTGATATGGTTGATGTTTTGTAAGGCAATTCAGTAACGTATTCACTAAAGAGATCATGTAACTTCTCCCGAACACGATCACTATGCTCACGAAAATTACTTCCATAGAGTTTTTTTGTAAGTAAACTCAACATAGTGCATCTTATATCGTGGATCCAACACCGCAGCCATCACCAAAATAGGACTATACCCAGATTAATATTTTGAGAACTTTGCATACATTTGGCAAGCCATATTCTTCATAAACTTATCCGAACTTTCCATTTCTTCTCTTAAAGTTTTTTCAACCGTGAAAATAGAAGGAAAATATAAGTTTGATGTGCAATATTTATTTCC